TTTTTTTTTTTTTTTTTTTTTTTTTTTTTTTTTTTTTTTTTTAACTGAACTTTTTTTTTATTTGCAAATTTATTATTTTATTATTAAAAAGATAATAAACATTTTTTTTTCTTTTAACTTAAATAATTTAGAGTTTTATGTAAAGTAAAATCATATTATTTTGTAAATTATTTATAGCGAAAGAAAAAATAAATAATATTAGAAATGGAAATAAATAAAAGGTTAAATTAATAAAAATATCTTTAAACTTTAAATTTTTTTAATAATACTGTTAAATTAAAAAAAATAAAATAAAATATTATTAATTTATTTTTAAAATATATTTGAAGTTTCAATTTTTCATTAATATCTTTAAATTTTAAAAATAATAATAATAAAGAATACTCTCATGGAACCTTTTTAAATTTTTTTAAGAGAATTAATGTTAGCTTTAAAAAATTTTGTGGATATTTTCGAGACGTGTACTAATAATAATGGTATTTTTAAATTTAAAAAAAAAATTAAAGATATTTTTGAAATTTTTTAATAATAAAACTTTTAAAAGTGAAAATTATTTTTTTTTAAAAAAAGTATTAATAGATTTTAGTAAGATTTTTTTTTTAATTTTAAGGGTATTTTGGATAATTTTATTAATTTAACCTAAATAAAATTATTTTTTAGTTTTAGTATATTATTTTTTAAAAATGATTAATCACATAAAAATAAAGAATATATATATATATTTCTACTTTTTTTAAACAAATTTTATTTGTCATTAAAATTTTAATTTTAAATCTAATAATTTACCATTTTAATTTAATACTTAATTATATTTTAAAATTATTAAACGTAAAAACTTTTGAATTCAATAACATATTAAATACAAGATCGAAAGGTTTAGGACCAAACTTTTGACTTAATCAGTTTTAATAACATAAAGTTTTGGACCCATCATTGAACCGTTCTTCAACGAAAATTCTAGATCGGGATGGCTGATAGGTACTTGAAGAAAATAGGGTTAAGTTATCTTCGATCAACATAAAAAATCAACTGAAATTTTGGCTACGTGAAAATATGGTATCGAGACGTATATTTTTAGCTCTAAAATTTGTTCTTTTTTACGATTATTGAGTATCATTCGTTTAAATTAATAAAAATATCATTAAATTTTATATTTTGTCTAAAAAATATATTAAAATTTTTAAAAGTTTTAATAATACTCTCTCGACTATAAAAAAAATTAAAAATTAAAAATGATGAACCAAGTAACTGTCATCTCATAATGTTTTTGGATTTTGTAATTAAATCATAGTTTATCTGATAATTATGGGTGATAAAGACTGATATCCAAATGACTTAGAATGGGTCAAGGGCAAACTAAACGACGATGATAATCTATAATGACTCATCATTTTATAAGGCTCTCGTTACTGTTGACACGATCTATATTGCTTTGAAGTCTTTTGAACGGAAACAAAAATATTATCGTAAAGAATTAATTTTAAATTAGATAATATCAGGTCATACAAAAATATGTGGGTGACGTTGTGAAAGGTATGATTTTGATGGGTTTGTAGCAATGTAAAAGTATGAACTAGTCGTCCACAATATTTGGTTAAACAATGTCACTGTAGCGAGAGAGATGGCACGATGTTACAATTATACCAAGACTAGACCAAGGAGACTTTGTGGGGAGTCGTTGCATAATTGATAGATACTCGTTAATTTTTCGAGCTTAATTATGTCTTTACTCTCTAAATCTTAAAAATAAAAAAATAAAAAAGGGAAAGAGGACGGTGACACAAGAAAACCGATAATTTTGCAGAGTTAAATGTACGAGAGATGTAAAAGTATTTTGTATTTTTATCTAATAATTATTAATATGAGTATTCACGGGTTCGATAGGGACTTTTTTAGACACGATCTGACCCAACACAATTACTCGACTTATAAATTTTTTCAACTAAATACAACGTCAATTTTTATGGTCGTTTATTTGTTTTAAATAAAAGTAAAAAATGTTAGTTAGTAATACGTTCATTCTTTTTTTTTTTTACTTTTAGGGAGAATAAACGGTCAAAAAAATTGTGAAATTAAATAAAATATATGTATACTCGTATAAAAAAATATATTTTAAATTTAAGAATAAATTTAGGTTGGTTCCGTCCAACCCAATCTAGTTTTACGAGATTTCATGGGCTAATTTAATCTATAAAAATTTTATTTATTTGAATTCAATCCAATCTAAATAAATTTATGGTACAACATAAATCGTATGGGTCGGGCTTAGGTTATCGAATTTTTTGAACGCCCGATAAAAATTTTAAAATCTCAATCTTTGTGTGGGTTAATGTGATTATTATGGAGAGAGTAAGTTGTGACCCTCAATGTACGACCGTGATATCCAAAGATCAACACACCATATTCAAAGAAAGAAAAGGTCGAGTCCAGCTTGTGCTCGGTGGCCAAGTCTAGGGCCAATGAACACTTCTGAGTCGAAGTTGAGGCAGATTAATGCCCATTAATTAAGGTGAACTGGGTTATTTTAACTACGAGACTGCATAAAATTTCACCAAAAAAATAAAAGGAAAACGCGTGAAGAATATCAGTCAAGGGAAAAGTTGATCCTTCGAGGGAACCAACAGATAGGCAAGGTCAAATCCATGCGCAACTTTCTTCTCTTCTAATCTCGTATGCATTTCTTTCAAGAGATTCCCACGAACCTTTGGTCAAGTGTTCGAGTAGTGAAATCGATCGAAAAACTATATTTACGAGAGGCTATTAATGTCTAAGCACGATCGAGTTAAATTTAAGTTAAGCAACGTCTAATTTAAAATAAACGTCATTAGATTTTAATAAATGATTAGCGTATCGAGATTTAGGTCAAGATGTCATAACTTTAGCATATTTCATTAGAGAGAGATGGTTCATCCTACTTAATTATATAATTAAAAGCGATAACGATTGCTATCTAAACACAAGTTGAAATAACGGAGAACTGTTGTTCGATGGCAAAACTGCATTAAACGAGGGGCTCGTGTCTCCATCAACTTGTTGAGAGCGATAGTTTCGACATTTTCAAACGAGAGTGATATCGAAATATAGGCAAAGTTGTAATGACCATGAGTGTCGATCGTGTCCCACTAACGTTGTTCTTTTTTACGCTTCTCCTTTCTCGTTCAAAAAGTTCATGAAATTTTATAATTTTAATATTAACAATCACGGGAAAAATTTTAATTTTTTAATAAAATAATAATCAAGGATTATTCTAGAATCACTTTAAAATTTTGAAATATTTATATTAATAAATTTTTGGAAAAATTTAAAAAATTAATACAATATGATTTAAATATTTCTACATTTTAAAAAAAAATAAATAATGACTTTAAAAACTAATATTTATTTTGACAGAAAATAAGTTTTAAGTGTATTTATTACACGATGGCTCCATGTTACCATTACATCAATGACTAGACTAAGAAGACTTTGTGAGAGTCGTCGCTTATTTTATATATACTCGTTAATTTTTCGACCTTAATTAAATCTCTAAAATAAATAAATTATTGATAATTTTGTATATTTGTAAAAATTTATTGTTCTTTTATCTAATAATTAGCGTATTTATCCTTCAATTTTAATTTAAGTTTATGAAATTTAAATAAAATAAAGAGTCTTTTATGTTCGGGTTTCGTTCCAAAAAATTATGTTGTTTGGGGATTTGTCAAAACTAACTAGTAAAAGGCCCAAAATAGGAAACGATCTTAAAAACCAATCACGTTCTAGTAAAAAATCTGAATATCGTCTTCGTTAGAGATGTCCACAGGGTTGTACGAGGACAGGGAAGCGTTCTTTGTCTCTATTCCCGCCTCCTATTTCATCTTTCATTCCTTAAAATTTTTCATTTATTTTTGCTGGAAATTGACTGAGGACTTCTCGGGTCAATTTTTTCTATCTTTTATAAATATATATATTTTAAATCATATCAAAGAATTTTTTTTTTAAATGAAAATTTTTCATTTTCGAGAAATATAAAACATTATTTACTTACAAAGTATATATATATACATACACAGCAGAGTTGGGTGAGGATTGAGACGAGGAACATAATTTCCGTCCCTGACCCTGTTTAGCTAACGAGAAGAAATTTCTCTCCATTCCGTCCTCATTCTTCATTTAAATGGAGATTTTTCACACTGGAGTGGGTCTCTGTAGCGTCCCGACCTCACAGGTTAAATGGACATTTTTAGATACTGTTTTCTTAAAATATCTATAATGAAATGTCGGGAATTCCAAATCTTGATTATGATAAGATTTAGAGATATATTCATTTTATTAATAATAATAATCCAAAACAAACATGCAAAAGAAAGAAAAAAAACAGAACAAAGATTACTCGATAACCAAATTATTGGAGTAACAAACAAACCTAAAAAGTAGTTTTTTCCGTTGGTCGCCACTCATTAAAAGCAGCATATATAGGTAATTCAGTTAAAGCCTTTGTGTGTTACTGTTGTTGATTCAATTCAGGCATTGATCTTCCGGCAGTCGGAACGAATCTCGCCGTCGGTTCCAGTGAGCGGGCTGAGATTAGACATCTTAACCATGGCGGCGGCGAAGTCGGAGAAGAAAGCAGAGGGGTTAGAGGAGTAAGAGGTGACATGAGAATCGGCGGAGCCATTGTTGAAGAGGGCTTGATCGGAATGAAGAAGACCTTTGTTTTGTATCAAATTCTTGAAATAAGCCGTGTCGAAGGAGGAAGGCGTGCGGACGTCTAAAGACGAAAGCTTGTCGTCGTCGCCGGAGAAAGGGCAGTTTGATCTTAAAGAAGCTGCGAACTCCGAATCAATAGTCGTTTCGTTATGAGCCCTTACTCGGAACATCGAGCACCTTGCTTGCCCTATTGTATGCGATCCTAATCCAATCATTCATCAACAAACAAACCAACCATTTTAGCCAACTCATAAACACTTAGTACCCTAATACTACAGCTAAAAAATGCTCCGATACCCAATTGTTGTAATGGAAGCAGAAACAAGATCGATTGTACTCACACATCCACAAATAGAAATTAAACAAAGTAACACAAATATTTACGTAGTTCGGAGAGAAATTTCCCTACTCCCCCGACTGGTACCCAGTTACTATAATCAAAGTGTTTACAAGTGTATCTCTCAGACTTTCAGACTACAAAATCTTTCAAAAAGTTCCTCCAAGGCAAATACAAAATGACAATGACTCTATACCTCAAAATAATGTTAAACGACCCTTTACTTTATATAGGCATAGCAATACTAATTCTCGTACATGAACCAAATAAATGAGAATATGAACGAAAAGGGTTATGAACTAACGAGAGTTATGAACCAAATAAATAAAAATATGAATCAAATGGGTTGTAAACGGAGAGTTATAACAATACATTTTCATAACAACTTACAACAGTAGCTCAATATAGTACCTGAAAGAGCGACTAATTCTTTGGTATCGAAGCCTTTGTTGGAGAAGGCGGAGACGAGATCAGGGAGGTCGAGGAAGGGAGAAGGAAGGTCATTGTTTGCGCGGTCGAAGCTGGCGGTGGTGGCGTCTCTCCTCCCGAGCGCCACCACCCACGACGGCCCACCGAGCTGAAAATTAAGCACAAAAGCTCAAAACCCACATACCCAAATGGTGTTCAGCTCAAGAAATGAAAGGAAATCTTACAGCAACCACTGAGTCCCTGGCTGCAATGGACAGAATATCAGCACATGAAACCACTGAAGGGCAGCTCTCCTCCACCAGCGTTTTTATCCCGTCGATCACTTCAAACCCTCTCAATGAATCTTTATTTGGGATTGCTGTCTTTTCTCCGGTGAAGTTCGACGTGTCGTCTAGCAGCACCGACGCATCACATCCCTGCATGTACGTACACTATTCGTTATATCATTTCATCACTCGTGAAAACGACGAGTTAGAGCCATTATGTTTATGGTTGTAACTCTCAAACGTAGATCTGAGCTCATGTGGGCATGCATGCATGTATTTAAAGATTTGGATATGTAGCGGTTTAAGCCCATCGCTTATATTGTTCTACGCGTCTATTAAGGAGAGGTTTCCTCTCCAACCACCAATGTGGGATCTTACAATCCACTCCCTTAGGGGCCACCGTACTCGTTGGCACACCGCCCAATGTATGGCTCTGATACCATTTGTAACAGCTTAAGCCCACAGCCACCAGATATTGTCATCTTTTGACTTGTCTTTTTTGGGTTTCTCTTCAAAAGTTTTGAAACACGTCTATTAGAGAGAGGTTTCCACACTCTTATAAGGAATGCTTTGTTCACCTCTCCAATATGGGATCTCACAATCCACCCCCCTTGGGGGCCCAACGTCCTCACTAGTACACCATCCAGTGTCTAGCTCTGATACCATTTGTAACAGCTTAAGCCCACCGTTGGCAAATATTGTCCTCTTTGGGCTTGCCCTTTTGAACTTCTCTTCAAAGTTTTGAAACACGTCTATCAGTGAGAGGTTTCCACGCCCTTATAAGGAATGTTTTGTTCCACTCTCCAACCGACATGGGATCTCACACGATAATACTAAGTATTTTTTGTTATCCACTACTAAATTTTTGTCGGTTAGAAAATTCAATAACGAACAAATAGGAGGAACGAAAAAAAAAAAAAAACCATAGTAAACTAAAAAACTAAAAAGGGGTGAATTTAAAAGAGACGTGCATTAACAAAGCAGTCGTGAAAATGAAGACGAAGCAACGAAGCCCCCATTCGATACTCTTTGGCCACTGCTTTCACGACTTCACGTCGGACGGTGGAGAGTAGCTTAGGACATGAGCTCTCATAAAAGTTTGCAGATAAACTGCCAAAGTTGAAAGGTATCAACGAAACAAACACAAAAAGACACCACAAATGTCTCCCCATCGAGTCCATTGTCCCAACAAACTAAGAGAAACTCTGAAAATTTTGTGAGGAATGTTGCTATCTAAAACCAAGAACATATATATATATATATATATAGAGAGAGAGAGAGAGAGAGAGAGAGAGAGAGCCCAAGAAGGAGGTAGCTGCTTGCAACTGGGTGCTTACCTTTTTAGAGGGTCAGATTCAAAGGTTGAAAATTTGAGGGAAAAAAAAAATAAAAAACCAGAAAAGTATGGATTTCATAAGCGTAAACCCACTATAGATGTGGGTGGGTGTACCGAATCAATTTTTTTTTTTTTTTTTTAATTTTGTTTTTACAGTTAAATTTTGAAAAATCCATTGAAGAGTGATTTGAATATTGAACACTTGGAGAAGAGGATGTTGATGTTTGGCACATTATTGAATTGGATCAACTTTTTAAGTAAGATAGATTAATGGGTGTGTGTCGATCTCCACCGAGTTAGAAGACTCTTCGTCTCCGTGAAAATTTTCATTTATCTTTAAAAGAATTGAAATGGGATTTTCAGCGAAAAATTTGGAGTGGAGTTCTATGTGAGTTTTTTTTTTTCTTTTTTTTTTTCTCTCTATTATTTAACATATTTTTAAAAAATATTATTGGTTTGGTATAAAATATAAAACATGTTAATAAATTTAATAATATTTTAGAGGTAAAAAATATAATTTAATGTCCATCATTTTATGTTTCAAAATTATATTATATCTATTTATTTATAAAAAGTGAGGTGGGACGGGGTGGGATTTGAGTAGGAATAGGGACAGGAAATACAATCTTCATCCTAACCCGTTTGACTAACGAAAAGAAATCTCTCTCTATTCCCTTCCCATTAGGGGTGGGCCCGTGCGACCTTTAGTTCCACAGATTAAATGAAAATCGGAGGAGATGTGAACAAAATGTATTGGGAATCTTATAGCTAGTCAAATAACTGATGCTAATTTTAATGGAATAATATAGCATTGGTAAATGGTAAGAGTTATAAATAAGATATTGAAATTAATGTTTTTGGCAATCCCCCAAACTTAAGAATGTTCCAATTGGGTTTGAATTATGAAGTTTGGAAGAAGTGTGAACAGTTTTCAAATGCAATGATGGAGGGCGAACGGGGAGGGTCTCAAAGATTCATACAACTCATAGTTTGATGTTAAAGAGTGGTAAGGTGGTCTAAATGGAAGGCCGTCTGTAATGGCCTCAACAACTTTCTAATCATCACTCCTCTGCTATCATTATGTCAACACAATTCCCTCTCTAATTTTCAATATCAATCATCTAAACTGCCCCTCTCCCCTCCCATACAATAATCAACACCAGACTACTAAATTTCAAGAGGATAATGAGAGCGACTTAAGAGCCACGGCGGAGTTTCGAGGAACTTTCAAATAAAAAATTCTAATTTCGGGGTCCTCGGTGTTCTCCTTTACAGTCGAGCAGCTTCGCAGCTTGGGCTTTATTCACGAGACTTACATGGCTGAAAGACAAGACTACGTTATACTGACCCAAACAAACAAGTATTTTACCGAAAGGCTAGCTAAAGAAAAGCGCCTTAAAATGACGTAGCCTTAAAGTTAAGGGCAAGGTTCAAATGAATAATACTGAGACTAGATTGAAAGTTGAGGCATGGTTTCCGAAAACCCATCAAAACAAAATTTTAATTTTTAAATAAATAAATAAAAGAAGAAGAAATACAAAGTAATTTCATCTCGATTAAATGAAGTTTAATCTATACAAAGTGTTGAAAACTATGCTATAATATTAAAATTTTAAGTTTTTTAGAAGTTATATCGAAAATCACAAAATATTTACAATATTATTAAATACCAGAAAAATGAAAATTACCTTTAAGAAAATCTTTTAAATGACTTTTTTTTATAAGAAAATTATTGAAAATGAAGAAAAAAAATCTTCTAGAATCCGATCTGCAAATTCTCGATAGAACATCCCTACACGAACCCCATGAAAATAAAAAAATTAAAAAAAAATTAAAAAAAAATCATGGGAATGAGAACTAATATAGGAGACATTTCCCATCTCCTCTGGTGGACTTTCCCTGGAAATGAGAGTAAAATGGGCGGAGGCAGTACAGTTATTAACCAAATATGTGGCTACAAACATCACACCAAATTATATATCTCAATCTATCAAATAATGTTGCCTCTCGTCGTCCAAACTAGGAAACTTATGAAAACAAAAATTAGCCCCACCAAGGCCAAACTTCACTTCCTATCCCCAGGGTGTGCCTGTTTTATTACCAATTGCAACAAAATCAGAACACAAAGTTTTCCTCCTCCGCACCAAGAGGTTGCAATCTATCTCCCATCTCTCGGATAGCATCTGCGGTAGAGTCATCTATGCCCAGCAAATATTGCAAACGGGACACCTTTTCGGGTGACGCTTCACTGTTCGCGTATACAGAGAACAGATCAGCGAGTTCTTCAGGCACATCCCAGGATAAAGGTTTCGATGGAACGGCTTTGTCACATGCGAGAAGATCATTGAGAGAGGATATCTGGAAAATAAAAACGCCATAGGACACTTAGAATCACTGATATCTGGCATCGGGTCAATTCTAGTTACCCTACAATGGAGAAATCACTAAAATGAAACATATCTTACCACCCCCTGACGGTTTCTCTGCCTCAACAGTGCCACAGCCTGAATTAATGAGTTCGATAGCCTGCTTTCTGCCAGCTCGTGTACTACACCCTTTGCCTTCTCAGCATTAATGTTGAGGTCCGATGGGATTTTCTCATAGACCTCTTCTTCATCGAACTCGCCAGTGCCAGACGAGAAGATGTCATCGACAGTCTTTTTGAAGAGGGTCTCTCGCAATCGCTCTGATATCATGCTATCTAAATCAACATTTGCTTCCTTGAGTTCTCTAACCTGCTTAATGTTGAGTCGCCCTTGACCGACAGCGGTTTCAATGGCAGCAGCCATTTTCGTGGTTGTTATGTTCTTAATGATCTTATTCGCATATTCAGAAGGCAAGCCAACTTGCTTCTGCAACTCATTAAGCTGTTCTACCCTAGCCTTTGTAAGTTGACCATCGGCCAAAATTACTTCAGCTTGTTGCTGGAAGGCCTGCTCAGCTATGCTCCTATGTACTTCAACAGTCTCCTTAGTGGTTAAACCCAAAATGTTGCCAAGCTGATTTAACAAGACATATTCAGAATCGTCCTTCTTTGTCGTAATCTGAGCACCGAACGGAATTCTGACGACTTCACCGGTCAAACAAAAATGCAAATATGTCTTGTAAAGGTCAGTTCGTTCTCTTTCAGGCAGGTCATCCTTCAAAGTTATCTCTGTCTGACCAGATTTCCCCAATTTCGCAGAAAGGTCTTTGTTTGGTCTTATTTTCCTCAAACTCTGAAGTGATTCCCATTCCTCATCCTCATCATCAAGCTGTTCCTGTTCCTGTTCCTCTTTGATAGGATCTTCCGGCGGGGCATCGGAAGATTCCCCTTTTATATCAGCCACCAATTCTGTTACAACTAACGTATTGAAAGCAATCATCTTCTTAAGTTCTTTTGCAGATTCAGTACGATTTCCAATCGCACGAGCTCGCTTCACGTAGTTCATGAAAATCTTCCGAACCTTCATGGGTGGTAAAAAGGGAATTAAGGTGAGTGCAACAAAATTTTATCCCAAGCAATTGAAATAACACACTACAAGATGATTACTCACTGCTTTGCTTGCAATCGACATGGCAGCCTCCCTTGTCAAGCGCAAGCCATGAGCTGCCTTCCTCACAGATTTCTTTATATCTGCGTCATAACCATCAACACCTGCAGCAATGGCCTCCTTTACAACCTGAGAAGAATTAGGAATATTAGTCTTGACACGATAGAGCTGGAAGTTCAAGCGGATAGTGTGTCAAATTATAGAACAAAAACAAGTCCGACGCCTTAATAGAAAACCCATAACCAGGAATTTAATAAGTGAAAATGAACTCTTAGACACCAAGGTACTAGGCATAATAGACAACAAAAGGAGATGGTAAAATATCATTACCTTTTCAAACAAGGAACCACAAATATCTGTATGTGCCGCTTCGACAGTTTGTTGAGGTATGCAAAGCATAACTCTTAGCTTCAGTAATGCAGATACATCCTCATCACTCAGCTCTCCATCAGCCACACATTGCTGAAGCTTTTGACGATAAATCTCTGCATAACATAACAGGTGATTCAGAAATAATCGTGAAAATGGTAGGTTGACTTGTATATTGGCACATACAACGATGGATAAAGATGTAGTAACTGGCTGCATGAATATTTGAAAGCTCAAAACTGAAATTGATTGCTAACAGCACAGAACTAACATAGGAAGCCAGATCCGGTGCAATCATCTAAACAGCATACCTTCATGAATCTCACTGGCCTTCAGTGGATTAAAGTGAAGCTCCTCGCAGAGATTTTGGAGAAAGGCTGCTTTACTATCTGCCATCTCCAAATCGCCACTACTTACAGACTGTGCAAGACGTTTGCGATAAACCTTTGAGGTAACGTCAAGTGTAATGTTTTCAGCTTCTCGCTTGCCTAGACCAAATATATTTCTCAACTGATTCAAGGCAGCAAGCTGAGGAAAAAAAGAAGAAGAAGAAGAATGTTTACTATCATTTTATTGGAGAGAAAAGAGATTAGTAACAATCAACTACCAAAAGAGAGATGGACAAGCATTGCATCAGACTCAAAGGTGGCTTCTCGAGAAAATGTTTGTAACAATCACTAGCCAAATGAATACAGTTAATCATAATTTTAAGTTCGGGAGCGTTGCAGATGTTAACTTCACATAAAATCTTGCTTCAACCGTTCAACGTTCGCCAGCTTTTATTCAGTGAAATTATTTCTTGAGACAATCAATAATTTTTTGTTTTAAGAGGATGCCTAATCCACAAATTCTTTAATAGAATTTTCGTTAACTCATATCAAGGGAAAAAATGAAACAATAAGATAATCGACAGCCTAACACAAACCTAAAATATAATAACATACACCGGTTCTGGTATACAAAGAGTGAAGAATTACCATGAAGAAAGTGTAATCTCAAACGATGCGATGATAATAGCTTATAAACCCTTTAAAAAAAAACATGTGTTTTGATGACAGCTTATAAACCAACAAGGCTGCCAATTTCATAACAGTAAAAAAGCATAGCAGTCTTCAAAGACTGACTAATGGAAATTCAACAATGTGCGATAACAATTTAACATAAATTAAAAAATTAAAAAACAGGTACAAAATCTAACATCTTAGGCTCTGAAGTAAAAACAATTACAGTTAGAGAATGCTTAAGCCTCAAAGAAGAACTAGAAATCATTGGGTAACTAAAGCAGTCGAAACAATGGTACTGAGTCCAACTGTGCATAGGACTATATTATCATTACTGTTTTTATTTTTATTAATAATAGGCCAAGCTAGTTGTTTTGGAGCAACGCAGACCTCTCAAAAGACCAGGAGATTTTCCTTCAAGCTCAATCAATGAAAAGTCCATATTTCAGTTGCTAGTCTTTCAGGTTCCCCAAACCACTATAGCCAGCAACCATGGCCACAAATAACTTATTAGTCCTTGGAAATGTGAAATTCTATATCCAGGCTCAAACTTTTCATGGTTAAAATCCCTTCTTTCAAAACATGAAGTAGCTTTACACTCCTTATTTGAGAGGGATAACTCGCTACAAAATTCACCTCTCGCCACACACTTCCTGGGTATCTACTCTTTCCTCGGGCCACCTTCCATCTATCACAAGTGCATTTAAGAGTGCAAATGGTTAATCCTTTAGGACAAGCGGAAGTGGAGAGGGCTCCTAGAATTGGCGTTTATTGCATCTCAGAAAGATACAATATTAAAGAATTTTTCAACTGGCACCTTTATTTATTCTGGCTAGTTGATTAGCATTTTTTCAACTCCCTAGCTTGGGTTTAAATGTAAATGCCAATCACTCCTCCCCTATTTTAGCATGTTCATTTCTTCAATAAAATAAAAGTTAAGCCAACAGCATGTGTTTGGTAATCATAAAATTGACCTTATCTTCTTCCATGCGGCCATCAGATAAAGAATCTGTAACATATGCTCGATACAGAAGCTTCAAATCATCAATCTTCCGGTCACCATCATACTCTCCACCTAACCCAAATGATGCATAAAAGCAATTCAAATGTGATTCATCCACAAAATTAGAAATGAAAATATGGAACTTAAAACCTACCCATAAGAGAAACTGGACCAACTCCAGGAGCAAAGCGATTGGCATCTGGATGGGTCTTTAATGAAATAAGCAAACTGTTGAACTCCAGTAGCTTATCAAGCTCTTCCACAACTTCTATGACTCCCCTGCTGGAAACCGAAAGTTATTATCAGTTACACAGAAGACAAATGAACGAAGTAAAGAACCAAAAAATACGTACATAAATTCATAGAGCTATAAATATCAAAATGAAATACTACTTTCATCTACAAGGACCAGAAAACATTTTTTTGGAAATTAGAGATTGTTGGTGGTGGTTGAGTACAGTTGCTTGAACTACCTTGGTCTGAAAGAAATATTCCAACCTTTAAAGACAATTTTTCAAATCCTGAAGAAAATATTGATAGAATCGACTTTGGAGTTTTAAGAGAGTCTATCCAATCCAAAGATTTTGTTACTTGTCAGGTTTTGACACTCAAATCAATTGGAGAGTTTTTTTCTCTCTCTCTTTTTTTTTTTTTTTTTTTTTTTTTTTTTTTTTTTTTTTTTTTTTTTTTTTTT